GGTCCCTAATGAAGAAGTTGAACAGCACCGGTCCAAGGACTGAGCCCTGGGGGACTCCGCTGCCTACACCCTCCCAGGTCGACATTGACCAGTCCACCACCACCCTCTGGGTATGCCCCTGGAGCCAGTTTGCCACCCATGTGACCGTGCATTTGTCAATCATCGATCATCCAGGGGTGCAGGTGTGTGTTGCTCCCTGTTACTGCATGGGGGGCATGTGCACCCTGATTTGTGCATGGGGCAGAGGCAGGCTGCATGCTGTGGGCTGGGGCTCTGTGCCCTGCTGCCTTTGCCCCAGGAGCCACACACTGGCTATGCTGCGTGTCCCCTGCCTGCCCAGCTGTGGGAGGCATACCGTGGCTCCTGGAGCAAAGGCAGCAGGGTGCAGAGCCCCAGCCTGCAGTGGGCAGCCTGCCTCTGCCCTGCCCTCCCACAGCCCCCCCAGCTCTGCTGCTGCCCCTCATTCATGACCCACAGTATCCTGCATCCTGCCAGGCAGTGTGGGCCCTCCCTCTCCTTGGGCTTCAACCTCCCCCCACACCCTCCATTGCCCCCCACACCTTCACAAATTCACCCCTCACACACATACTCCACATCCACCCCCAAACCATACAAAGTACCTGCATACATCTGCACAATTTGCAGTTTTTATGCTCATCATTTTGAGTTTTTAGCTGTGCGATTAAAAATTGCAATTAATTGCAACTATTTTTTAAAAATCACGCAACTAATCTCAATCAAAGTTTTAAATCATTTGACAGCCCTAATTTAAAGATAGGGGGAAAAAAGAGTGAGTATACATTGTCAGTTTTGGGGATGGAAAGCAGGGTCCTCCAAGGGTTTGTGGTGGAAACACTGCTGGTCAACATGTTCATAAAGGATCTGGAAAAGGAGGCGAGTAGAGAGGGGACCAGATCTGCAGATGACACAAAAGTATTCAAAGAGGTAAACACCAAAGTGGACTACAAGGAAATACAGAAGGATTTGGCAAGATTGAATGCATGGGAAACTAAATGGCAGGTGAAATTCAATATAGATAAGTGTAAAGTGATACAAATGGGTAAAAATAATTCAAACTTTACCTACACTATGATGGGCTCTACATTAACTGTTACCACACAGGGAAGAGATCTGGGACTCTGGGAGTCATTGTGGACAATTCACAAAAATCATCAGCTCAGTGCTCAGCAGCTGTCAAAAGGCAAACAAAATGTTAGGGATTATTAAGAAGGGAACTGTAAACAAAACAAATAGTATCATTATGGCCCTTTATAAGTCCTTGGTGCATCCTGTGGAAGAAATCAAACTTCGGGTTGT